TGCAGAGGCAGGAAACGGCAAACCACCTCTGCCCTGACCTGCAAGGCCCAGGCATGTCCAATCTCAACAGATCTCAGAAGCTAAGCAGGGTTGAACCTGGTTAGCGCTTGGATGGGAGGCCACAGGATGCCAAGACGCCCTACGCAGGGTCAGGAAACGGCAAACCACCTCTGCCCTGATCTGGAAGACCCAGGCATGTCCAGTCTCAACAGATCTCAGAAGCTAAGCAGGGTTGAACCTGCTTAGCGCTTGGATAGGAGGCCACCGAGGGAGTCCAGGGTTGCTATGCAGAGGCAGGCAACGGCAAACCACCTCTGCCCTGATCTGGAAGACCCAGGCATGTCCAGTCTCAACAGATCTCAGAAGCTAAGCAGGGTTGAACCTGGTTAGCGCTTGGATGGGAGGCCACCCAGGGAGTCCAGGGTTGCTACGCAGAGGCAGGCAATGGCAGAACCACATCTGGAGGTCTCTTGCCTTGAAAACCCTATGGGGTCACCATAAGTTAAAACAGAATAAGGACTCAACCTCGTCCTGCCCCTCCTTAGCCCGGCTGTCCTTTCCCCCTTCTCATCTAATGTCCTGGCCCCACTGGTGGACCTCCTGATGGCACTGGTATTTCTGGCCACTGTGTGATACAGAGTGTTGGACTGGATGGGCCTTTGGCCTGATCCAACATTGGCATCTGTTATGTTCTTATGTTCTTATCTCACCTCCCTGGTCTCTTTTGTGCTCTCATCTGGGACCCGTGATGTCATAGAGAGCTGGTGTTTTGTTTTTTTTTAAAAAAGCACTGCATAACTTGGGGGCGCCTTGACCTGGATGTCCCAGGCTAACCCAATCTCATCAGGTCTCAGAAGCCAAGTAGGGTCAGCCCTGGTGAGTCCTTGGATGGCAAACCACCAAGGAAGCCCAGGGTTGCTATGCAGAGGCAGGCGTTGGTGAAACCACCTGTGAACGTCTCTCTCGCCTTGAAAACCCTACAGGGACATCATAAGTCGGCTGTGACTTGATAGCATGTCCCACCTCCACGAAGTAGGTGGTCGGCTCTGGTTAGTGCTTGGATGGGGGAGCACCAAGAGAGAGTCCAGGGTCGCTATGCAGAGGCAGGCAGTGGCAAGCCCACCTCTGCCCTGACCTGGAAGGCCCAGGCTTGTCCAGTCTCGACAGATCTCAGAAGCTAAGCAGGGTTGATAGCACGTCCCACCTCCACAAAGTAGGTGGTCGGCTCTGGTTAGCGCTTGGATGGGGGAGCACCAAGAGAGAGTCCAGGGTCGCTATGCAGAGGAAGGCAATGGCAAACCACCTCTGAACGTCTCTTGCCTTGCAAACCCCATAAGGGGTCCTTGTGAACAGTGTTCCCTCTAAGCTGAGTTAGTGTGAGCTAGCTCAGTTTTTTAGCCTCCAACTCACACATTTTTGTCTTAGGTCAGGAAGGATGGCTCCAGAGCAAACTAATTTATGCAGTAAGGGTAAAGGTTCCCCTTGCTCAAAAGCCAGTCAAATCCGACTCTAGGGTTGCGGTGCTCATCTCCGTTTCAAAGCCGAAGCGCTTTTTGACGCTCTCCACCACCACCATTTTGATGCCAAAAAAGGACGCTTCAAAATGGGGGACTGGGAACGAATGAGCCACAAATATAATGTGAACATGGAACTGTTTGGGGGGGCAGGTACGACCCCAGATCCCCCTCCCCCTTGGCACTCCCCTGTGCCAAACCAAGCATCCAACAGGCCTGGCAGGACCGCAGAGCCGCCTTCTGCATTTCGTCCCGTGCTTTTCCGCTGAGCTCTCCTGGTCCACTCAGGGCTTTTACTTTTGCTAGAACGAATGCCCATTCGACGGTGGTGAGGAGGCGCTGCGTTTTGCCTCTTTCCTACTCTGATAGGATTTGCTCTGCCTCGCTTGCTAAAACAGATTCCGTCTCTCCTATTTTATCGGAATGCCCTCTATATTCGAATCTAAGGTGCCGTTTTATTCTACCGCGGCTGGTGCATTTCAGTGCTTTTAATCCACGCAGGGTAGTGTAGTCCCTTTCCTGCTTTCGGATCAAATTCCTAAAATAACCTTGGAGGTTGCGAAATAATGTTTATTCCTTTTGTCTTTTGGGAATAAACTGCGATTGTAAACGAAATTTCAGATTCGTATGCTGCTACGGCACGGAGTTATAGATCTTTTCCTGGGGAAAGGAAAGGAGACCCACACACCAGTCAGCTAATTAATAGCACTAATTTAATAGCTGGCAGTTCCAAAGCCTTCCATTCAATGACCTCTGGACCTTTCAGGTGGTCCGCCTGACAATCAGCTTTCTGGCTGTTTCCCCTTCAGCAGGGGTGTCGAACTCATTTGTTATGAGGGCCAGATCTGACCTAAATGAGACCTTGTTGGGCCGGGCCATGTGTGTGTCATAAAATGTCATGCCAGGTAGCGGAGATATAAACTTTATAAAGGACACAAACACAAAGGGTTTTTTTAAAAAACTTAAAATAAAAACATGCTTAAAACATGAGCACTCTTGCAATATTTTATTTATTTGTGCCTGATAACTGACACCTCTTGCTCTGAATTCTTGCATCAAAATGTCTGTGCTGTTGCAATCTTGAGTAGGCTGTTCAGGTGTGTATCTGTCAGCCGCAAACCTACGATGACGCAGCAGCAGCAGAACTGGAAGAAGCAGGAGATGGCCAGTTCCACTGTGGGCCCGATAGAAGCCCTCCGGGGGGCTGATCCGGCCTCCGGGCTGCATGTTTGACACCCCTGCCCTTCAGGGTAGGAGAGGAGGGGAGAGATCGCTCCATGGTTGCCCTTGGCCTTTGCTGGTGCAGCCACACACCCTTAAGGTTGCTGGGTAGTCGGATGTTACTGAGCATGTCCCAGGCACGACGTGGGTTTCCAAGTCCCTGCCAGCAACTGGCAGGGGGTGGGGTGGGGGTAACTACCGGGAGTAGCAGGGAAGCTCCCGCCAACAAGCTGCAACATGCCGACGTCACTGCCACATGACCTGGAAGGGACACCGATGTGTTGTGGATGTCAGAGCAATGCTCTGATTTTGGGGCAAGAACTCGGCTTCTATCATAGAGTTCTTGCCCAAATATCAGAGTGTCACCCCGATGGCCCCAACGTAATGATGTCACAGGTCACATGGGCAGTGAACACAGGCACGTCACTGCACATTGGTTGGATCTCCCTCTTTTGGGGAGAAGATCCAGCTGGCCCAGCTGACTGGCGGTGTTGCGGTGGGTCCTGGTGGTGGGGGACCCCCCCCTTCCACCAGGGGTTCTGGTAAGCTTAGGGATGACTAGGGCCTTTAAAAGTCTTGGAGGCAGGCTCGTAGCCAGGATTTTTTTAATTGGGGGGCCTTTAAATAAGTCAGGGGGCACCCTGCACAGACCCCTGTGCACACCTCCAAGGGAGTGACTGGGCTGGATGGGAAGTCAGGGGGCCTTGGTGGTAAGTCAGGGGGCCAGGCCCCGATATGCCCCAATGTAGCTACGGGCCTGCTTGGGGGGTGGAGACTGAGGAGGACACACCAGCTCAGGCTTCTGGCACAGAGGAGAGACCAGCTCAGGGAGAGGAGCTCGAATAGGGCGATGCTCAATCCCCACCTCCCTGTGCTTGAGGCTGTCAGCAAGCTGCCAATATGTTTTCTTATTCTCTGAGTTTGCGCTTATCTCTTCCTATGTATGCGCTTGTCTGCTTTCACTTTCCCATGTATGCCCGTTGACGTGCTTAATTGCCTAGTTGCAGGAACGTCCGTATCTCTCAAGGTTGCAGGTGGTTGCTGGCGAGTAGTAGCTTGGGTGATCTCATGGTACTATCCATGAGAAGCGAACATGTTATGATTATCTAGGAGCGTTGCTTCCCAGGCTCAATGGTGCGCGCAGGAAACCCCGCAATTGGGCCTCAGCGTTTTGAATTTACTATAATCTATTGTGTGCCATGCTTTTGCCTCATTCTGAACAGTAATCCTGTTGTGCACCTATTGCTTCAAATAAAGTAAAACCTTTCCTGCAAGCGTGTACTTCGTTGATGCGATGGGAGTCTGACAGAGGCCAAGAGAAAGCTCTTAATACAAGTCAGATTCTGGAACACGACAGCCACGGCTTACAGCAGGACAGGAACTTCTCCTGCCGAGTTCCTTAAAAGTGAGAACCCGACTCCAGATCAGCATTTTACACAGTCCGCTCTTAGTTCACCTCTCCGGCGATTCTCGGCGCACACAAGTGACAAATTCTACTCATCACTGTTCCCTCTCAGCTGAGCTAGTGTGAGCCAACACAGTTTTTATAGTCTCCGGCTCACACATTTTCGTCTTAGCTCAGGAAGGGTGACTCCAGAGGCAAACTAATTCATGCAGCAGCCAAGTCGCTCACCCACAGCTTGAATGTCAGATGCTCACAAAGAAGAACTTTTGCTCACTCCACTCCACAGCTTACAGGGAACATTGCCTGCCACCTAATCCTGAACATAATTTTTTAACGTCAGCGTACAACGTTCCCTCTGCAACAACACGAGACACCACGACAACCTAAGCGCTACAGATTTCGGGAGCACCGGCTCTTAACTAGTTTCTTTAAAAACCGGATGATCCCCTGTTCGGAAACCGAGTTCTCATTCTGTAAACTGAAGTTTGCACGCACGGCAACGTTTAAGCCCCTCCAACTCCGAATGCACCCCCAATGCCAGCGTAATGTTACATGGAGTGAAACCGTATCCCTGGTCGCCCCCATACTCTCTGGCGAGGGACCGGATCATGACCTCTCCTTCTGATTAGAACGCCATATGGACGCATGCCAGATGCATATCAATTCCACCTGGGAGATGTTATGTTGTTTCAATAATTACCCCAATTGCACTTGGGTGGGTGAGGTCTTTTTTTGCTTCTTTCACCAACTCCACTCGAGACAGGAAAGAAGAAAAAAGCCCAAGCGGTTTTTCAAGGAATCGCCGATTCTGTATGTGATTTTGGTTTCCTGCCGTACGCTAATAAATCAGCCTGTCTTACCTTTTTCTTCCCCTTTGTTTTCTTGATTGCTTTTATCGACTTCGGGAGCCAGGGGCTCTTCCTCGATTTTCTCCTCTTTGGTTATCGAAGAATCTGAACAGGAAGGGAGGACATGGACGTGGTAAGTTCCACGGTTACATCTGACAATAGCACTACAGATAAGATTAGAATTTCAACAGCCAAAGAACCTCCTCAGGAAACAGGAAACCTCCTCAGGAAACAATCCACATGCAAAAGAACCTCCTCAGGAAACAGGAAACCTCCTCAGGAAACAGGAAACCTCCTCAGGAAACAATCCATATGCAAAAGAACCTCCTCAGGAAACAGCTAATCCATATGCAAAAGAACCTCCTCAGGAAAGCTCCTCCATTAGCATGTTTCCCAGCCTGGGGAACTCCTACAAGATAATGACTCAGCCCTACCCCACCTTCCTGAGTAGATATAAATGACCTGCCTATCATTTTCCTTCTCACCTTGACACAGAAAGTACTCCCTCTTTCTGTGTTATACCTCTGAGGATGCCAGTCGTAGCTGCTGGTGAAACGTCAGGTCCTACAATGCCAAGACCATGGCTAGACAACCGGGAAAATCTACAACAGCTAATTCCACGGTTATCTTTAGCTGAGTTGAGTGTTTATTTATTTATTCCCTGTTTTTTCCTCCCCAATTAGGACCCAAAGCTGCTACAATTTATTTATTTATTTATTTCTCATATTTTTACCCCGCCCTCCCAGCCAATGCCGGCTCAGGGTGGCTTATATAAAACCAGCACATCTCCTTTATAAATAAAAGCCGAATGGTGGTGGCACTTCTCTAGAACATTCCACACGCTCCAAAATCAGTTCGCTCTCTGATCTGTCATTCAGAGGGTCTCCCTATCCACTGGCTGCCTCCAACATTCTAAACAGTTTGTTTTCCTCTCCCCCCCATAGCCAGTCAGAACACAGAGGTTATTTGCATATGCAGCCTCATTGGCCTTTGCCTCGGAACACAGAGGTCGTTTGCATATGCAACTTGATTGGCTTTTGCCTCTA